ATGTTTATGTACAAGCTTTCAATTACATTTGCATTGACGAGTTCAAATTGCAAAATAAGCATGTTCTTGCAGCCAATATTTTATTGCAGTGAAAATTCGCTAAATCCACTCTGCCCGGCATCAATTCAGTTCAATCTGATACCGAATTTCTCACTAGATATACATACAGAAGTATTTTTTCGCGCACTTTTAATTTTAGCATGCTGCTTTCATTTTTCGCTTTGCTCGACGCTAAAACAAAAATTTAATTCTATGTAAAAGCTCACAATCTTAAGCATCTTATGCTTGCACGCAACGCCAACGAGAAAATAAAAAACAAACACATTCATTAAATTACCCACGAAGAATATCTGTTTAAATAAACTTTTCGTATGATGTATGTATACCCTACACAGCAATTCGTACTAAATGTGGACTAGAAAAAAAGGGATTCGATTGATTATTTAACTAAGCTGCGTTTTGGTTTTTATTTCAATTGATACCTCAATAATAATAATAATAATAACAATAATATTTTGGCGTTTTTACTTTCGCTGTGCTGTTATAACACAAATGGAGGGACCTACAATTTTACGCCGCCTCGAATGGCAAATTGTTTTATGGGAAGCTTTTCGAAGGAAAAAATACACTCGGAGGTTTACCTGCCGAACTACTGAAATACTCCGATAATTTTGGTTGTATATAGAGTCGGTTGTTGTAAAGCTCAAGCAACGACAGACTCCTGAAACGTGCTATTTCGACGTGGTCGGACCAAAGGAATAGGGGTGTTAGTTAAATTGGTTTAAAGAGGCAAGTGAAGATGTCGGAGAAAGTCCTGATAGGTAGAAGCTAACTCTGCTGCAGTATCCACATATTTGTTGTGCCAGATCGGCAATATAGCCACGGTGTCCATGTTGTCCAACGCTACCAATTGCTGTGTATCGGGTATTAGCGCTTTGCTAAGCACTTTTTAGCCATCTAATTTTTTTTGATTGTTTCTATACATTCTTTTTTTTGCATAGCAGCGCGAAGAAAATAAGCATCGAACATTTCGAAGAATCGTTTTAAAATATAAAAACGAAAATAAACTCTTTTTAAACTCCCAACTAACTGTTAAGGAAATTCAATATCTAAGTTTAGGGTTATTTAAACCGTTTTTCTTATAAAGGATTTGTGATGCGGGATTGAGAAATTAACTCCAACATGATCAGAGGTTTCCTCTCTTACATTGTACATACCGTTACTCCTTTTCCTGCGTATTTCGCTATTATATTTTGCCTTTTTTATAGGTTTTTAGGTCCTAAAAATCCGTTCCCGGCGACAGCGTCAGCGAGGTAAATCCAAAAAATAAAATAAAAATAAAAATAAAAATAAAAATAAAAATAAAAATCTTTTAAAGATTTTGAAATTATGATGACAATTGCTTTAGAATTGCTGAACTTCTGTGAATAATTCAATATTTTAATGAATGAATTAGGTCCTAAAAATCCGTTCGCGGCGACAGCGTGAGCGAGGTAAATCCAAAAAATAAAATAAAAATAAAAATCTTTTTTAAGATTTTGAAATTATGATGACAATTGCTTTAGAATTGCTGAACTTCTGTGAATTCTGTACAAAGTTTGAATTATACACAAGTTGTAACTTATCCTTCTCTGAGATGTTTTTTAATGGTTTTCTATATTTAATTCTAAATTTTAAAGCGGTTTTACAGCTGTACAACTTTTTTACGTTTAATCACTCCAGTCTAGTGTTAACTGCAAGCAAGTATTTTTTTTTTTTTAATTCGTTTCATACTACCACCCTTATCGGGTTGCGTAATCGATTTATCCGCTCTCACATTCCTTTGATTGCAAAATTCTACATTGACTTAACGATTGCTTATTATCTATCACTTTGCGATTTTTAACAGTCACTTCAATTGTAATTTGCGTTTTCATTGGTTATCTTTAATTACATAATCTAAGAATTTTACTTTTTTTTTCACTGTTATCACACGTTATCCTTTGCGCTATGTATGTATGTTTGATTTGTCACACAATTTTTAACTCAAAATTTGTATATGAAATTTTTGGCTTTTATTTCAGCAAAAAAAATTATGTATACTACTTATAATTTAAATAGTTTCACTTATCCGCACTAAAGTTAACGAAAATTTTCAAAACTTAATCGACCGCAACTGCCAGTAAAACTGAGAATTTGCAGCTTGTGAAAGCGCCATCAAGGCAAAAACCATGGCAAGACAAGAGCCCAACGCGAACACAAGTGCAACGAAGTTCGAAACAATCAGTTGGATTGCAAACGCGGAGGCCAATTAAAAGTGAATTGATTTCCCCTGTACTGTAGGTGCATCGATAAATACTCAAAATAAATTAAAAAGAAACTAAATACATACATATGTATATACATAAAAAGGCAAATAAAATCGCTCGCTGTGTACCTACACATGGTAAGACATTAAAAATAAATTGCCATGTGTATAATAGCACATTTTCAGCATGTAATAGATGTACAAAGGTATGTACATAAGTAAATGCCTGTCAGTAAGCACAGAAGTATAGATGTACATAGATATGCAAATTTAGCTGCGTGCAACAGACTGGCAGATAGTAGAATATGTACATACAAACCTACATACATATGTATGTATATAATGCGTACATATTTAGCTGCTGATCGTTTAACGGATTTAAATGTATTTTCGTGGGAAAAAAGTGAGTTGTTGGCCTCATATGTATGTTGCACAGACTCCCAGCGAGATGGATTGTAGTACAAATGCTTCGCATGCGTATGTATGTATCATCAATAGCCCTGCAGTGAAAAATCAAACGTTCTAGTCAATCAATTGGTAGAAAGCGACTGGTTGATTAACTGGTATGAGCTGATGCAGAGACGTAGCAGTTCAAAAATTTCGAATTTTAGTTTCCGGATTGTCCAAGCTAAAGCTGAAACGTAATTAATTGGTCTTCTTGTGAATGTTGAAGATTTAGAGTATTTCATAAGTTATTGTGAAATATTTATATTTTAAAAATTTATCAATTTAAATTGGCTTTCAAAATATTTATTTCTAAAATTACAATTAAATATTAGAAAAAATTTAAAAAATTGTTTTATTTGTACAAAAACTTGACCTAATATATGCAATTTAAACTACTAATTTGTAAGCAAAAAATACAACCGGTTTCAATGCTCAAATAAAAAATGTGGAGTGCCGTTAATTTCTTCATGGTCCAATCATCGGAACCAAATTACTGTCGGACTACAATTGAGTAACCACCATTTCGATAAAAAAAAAACGAATTATTTAAAACGGTTCACGTAGTCCCAACCCTGCAGGAAGTGACATTAGCTTATACCTAACCTTAGGCTGTTTACGCAAACACTAGTGCTAACAATTAGCTGCATGTTTTCTTCGAAAAAGGACATAAAATATCAATAAAAAAACATTACCAAAATTTTTACTTTTTCGATTTTTTACATTTTTAGTTATTGAAGTTATTGTATATTTGTTTATTTGTTTACATATTCTGCTGTCGGTGGTGATATATTTGAACTAAGTCAGACATAACATCAAAATGATAATATAAGATTTCGATCTTCATTTTATTTGTCCAGAATTCTAAAAAGTATTTGTGAAGTGCAGATAAAAATTGTATTCAAAGTAATTTTTGTATGACGATATTGTAAAGAAAACAAACTCCCGATTACGTTTGCATGACTCCTGCATGCATTTACAACTCACTATAAGTTTTTTTTGGCATAGGTAATTAAAAGTGATTTATTTAACAATTAATAATTTTTCACTGGATGGAAGGTATCCGGTAGCGCTGTAGACTGTCCTGTTCTTGCAGAGCGAGCCAAATAATTTCTCTAACTGGCAACGCATAGGCAACTGGTATGACGCTACTAGCGTTTCTACTACATAATTGGTACTGGTGCAAAACTTGAATACTTATATTTCGTTAGACATCTTTTTGTTAAAAATTTGTATGAACCAGTTGCTATTATGAAAGAACGAAAGACGTCCAACTAGTTGTTCTTGTGTTCTAGTTCACATCTCGTAAATTTTCCTGTTGGGAACATGCAGATTTACATATATATTTAAATACATACTTATTTGTGAGCTATTGTTCAATTCACAGTAATTAAACAAATATCAGCTTTTACTAACTAATGACCCAATAAACTTTGAACTTCGCTAGCTGCGAAAGCCTTTCACACAATTATGGGGATTCCCAAGATGTCATAGGGCCGTTTTCTCAAGTAGGTTTTAAAACTTATCTACCCTTCAACACAAATTTTGTTCTCGAAAAATGTGTTTGAAGTGCAGAAAAAATTTAAAAACCAATTGAAAAAACGCCGCTTAATGTCTTAAAGTCGTTAAATTTTTCAACATAAAAACTATTAAAATGCTAAAAGGATTAAACTGAATTTATGTATATATAGTGACCGTCAAAAATAACTATTCCCTGGCCATTTGACGATTTCATTAATTTATATTTTCCACAACACATTTTTTTATTTTTATTTTTTTTATTAATTTCATACAGGGCTCGGGAAAGTGCAAGAAATTTTCAATTTTTCAATTCGATTTCTTAGAAAAATTGGGAATGCCTTTTTGTAGCCCATTAAATTTTAGTTTAAACAAGTACAGTTTAAGTCGTTAAAAATTACCATTGATTTTTGAGAATTTTTTTCGCTGAGGCTTCTATAATATAATGAAAAAAAAAAAAATTGTGTGCGTTATATGGAAGAAAACGTTGAATGAACTACGTATATTTTTATTCAAAACAATAAGAAAAACTTTGTATCGTAAATATAAATAAATCAAATCGTCAAAACATCAGTGTATACTTATTTTTGACGCTGACTGTGTAATTAGCTCTTATCGTGCGCTACGAATCCACTAACACCATTTTAAACCGTTATTTTACATTGAAAAAAATTTCACGCCTTTAAGACATTAGAACAAGTCTTGTAAATCCCCTAGATGTAATGTTGCATTAAAATTAGATTTTACTTACCGCAAATAATGTTCAGAACTGAACTTTCTAAACCATTTGTGTTGGTATATCGTTACTTATATATTGCTTTATTTTGGTTTACTTTTTTCGGAAATCTGTGAAAGGAAAGAAAAATGAATATAAATGAATGCATGTTCAAGTTAATATTTCATCTAATACCTCACACTATTTCTACAAAATATTATAGGGGGCTTTCTTCTTATTTAAATTATGGACATGTACTTCTAACATTTAAACACAGAAATCGTCACCATAATAAAGTAATATGATCGATAGCTCATTTTATGATTTTAGAAAGCTTTTCTGGAGTGAATGACTGCAAACAAAATTTTATTCACCGAGAAAAAATCCTAATCGTAAAAAAAATAATTTATTTATTACACCACAATTTGGAAAGCTCACGAAGAGAGGAAAGGGGTACTGGTATGAAATCAGACATGAAATTATATTTTCTTTTCGAAATGTTCGTCTTTTAATGGTAAACTTTTTAAAATAAGCAAGAAAAAAGCAGTTTAGAGCGGTAAATATTAAACGTGTGTCAAAACGAGAGCTACAAATTTTTTCTTTTCACAACAAATTTACAACAAAAAATCTACAATTAATTCCCTTGTAACCTTTTCCATATCTCAATTCTCTCGACTAGGCGTATGGTGTCAAGTTAGCACTACATGCCATTTTTTCTTAAAAAACGAAAGCTACAAATTTTTTCTTTCCACAACAAATTTACAACAAACAAGCTACAATTAATGCCGTTATAGCCTTTTCAATATCTCAATTAAGTTAGCACTACATACTAAATTTTGTTCGAAAAATGGTCACCTCAATTTTTTTTCCAGAAAAGCGAAAGCTACAAATTTTTTCTTTCCACAACAAATTTTAAAGTTAAAAGCTACAATTAATGGCATAGTAACATTTTGGATATCGCAATTCTATCGACTAGGTGTATGGCGTCAAGTTAGCACTACATACAATTTTTTCTTAAAAAAACGAGAGCTACAAATTTTTTCTTCCCACAACAAATTTACAACAATAAAGCTACAATTAATGCCGTTATAACATTTTCAATATCTCAATTCTACAGAATAGGTGTATGGTGTCAAGTTAGCACTACATACTATTTTTTCTTAAAAAATTAGAGCTACAAAGTTTTTCTTTCCACAACAAATTTGCAACAAAAACACTACAATTAATACCGTTGTTAACTTCTTCAATTTCGAGAAGTGTAGTGTTAACTTGACACACGTGTTTATTTAACAATCCAGTGAAACGAACTGTCGTTAAAATTTTGCTTGGAAACCCTGAAAAAGCAAAACAAGCAATTCCAAGCAAAACCTTAAAATTTTCGCCCACTTAATAGCCAATGAAAGCCCATAATAATACATTTACCTGATCTTCTATAAAGTTTATTTATGCCATTAAAAAATGGTACTCCCCCTCCGATGTCCAAACGATCCATTCGGCGAACTCTTTACTTCCGCTCGTAATACAGAAAAAACCGACAAAAATTTAACATTGTTACACCTCTATGCGGTTGGTACCCATTTGTTGCGAGACCTTCCTACTTGGTCCTCATTAACCCTCTTCACAACACTGCGGAACATCACACCGTTGGTATTGAAACACGATAATCAAAAACGTTTTGACCTTGAATTGAACAACAGACTCGCCCCAGTCAAAGTCAAGTGACAAAGCCAGTGTCAGCCGGAAAAAAAAACGAAGTATACCACTTCAAATCAAATAACAATAAAAAACAACACTTCAACACAAAGTCGACCAACACCAAACACCGCCGAAGTGAACAGCTACATAAACTTGTGACAAGAGTAGAGAGCTACACGGCAGCAACGTCATCGACACCCAATATTGTGGCGAACGGTGCGCAGCAATAAAAATGGAAGAAAGAAAATGTGATGCACAAAGGGGAGGAAATTATCTCGAATGCTATGAAATTTGAGTGCGCTCGCACCTTACACTTCGCTTACTTGATGTGTAATTTTATTTAAAATTTTCATTTGATTTTCTTGTTAAAAGTTTGAAGTGACACGTGGAAGAGGCGAATGCAATTTCAAAAATTATAATGCAGCACTTGTCACTTGTTAATCGATATCGATATGTTATTCGAACTCCTTCTCTTCTCAAAGGCATGCCTATCAGTGAATACTAAGAAAAGAAATGCTAAGTAAGCAGCAATAACTTTTATGCAGTTAATTAGTTGGTGTATCGTAGGTTTTTGTGCTCTACGTAAAATTGGTTATATTCCATCGTGGTGTAAATACAAATGCTGGAAATTACCCTTGATAAGCAAATCAATACACACACATCACATTTACATTTTATCGTCTTTAAGGCCGATTAAAAAAATAATAATAGAAGTCCCGTAAAAGTAATACACTCCGTTCAAATTGGGAAGGAGCTCTCGGCGTCGTTCGGGACCAAATGTGGGTAGAGAAAAGACGGCTCACTGCCGAGCAACTTCTTCAAACTGTTGTTGAAAATCGTAATACGGGCAAATCTGAATCTCAGAGAAACCTGTCTGCCCTTGATTTAAACACTGATACAATTTTAGAAATTAGAGAGGCAATTGGCGACATTTAGGAGCATGACAAACAAGAAAACTAGTTTTTCGCAATGAGCTTAAAGCTAAATAACCTTAACTTTTGTTTCATTCCACAGTTAGACGATATGTATGAGTTTACTTTAGGTCAGTCTTTTAATAAGTAGAAAAATATTTGTATTTCTATTAGGTCGGCCGCCGAAGGTGAGTGGTTAGAAGTACAAACTTCCACCCGGTGGGACCTAGGCTCAATTTAATTGAGAAATATTGAAATTTGAATGCCTAATCATTAAAGAAGATACTTTTTTGATAAATTCAAGAAAATTTATCATAAAATTAAGAAGATTTTATTATTAGAGATTTTTAAATAGATTTTACTATCCTTCTAACGGATTCCTGTCAGTTCATCTCACTAATTTTCATGACTTGTTGGGATTTGGGTGTAATTTTTTATATTTATTACTTTGGTAGTAATAAACAACTCCACCGAATATTTTTTTGAAATTTTGAAAATGATCAAAAACGAGAATTGTCAAATTTTTAGTCTGAGCCGTCAAAGTTTTCTATTTTCTATAAATTGGCATAGGCCCTTTTAACCGACTTCCAAAAAAATTAGGAGGTTATCAGTTCGTCGGAATATATATATATATATATTTTTTTTTTTTTAATGTATGTTACCGCATAACTTTGGACCACGTCAACCGATTTCGATAATTCTTTTTGCATCGGAAAGGTAGTGTCTCAAAGGCGATCCCATACTAGTCTGGTTAAGATCCGATCATTGGATCAAGAAAAAATTAACGGTGCTACTTAGTTTTTATATGAGAATTGAAGTCGGTTTTTTTTTGCTTAAAAATTACTTGAGTAACAATTGGTTTGACTCTAAAAATAATTTGAACTTAATTCTGTAAACGGTGGCAGCTCTTTTCGAAAAAGTAAAACCTTATTGTATATCTACAGCCCGAGCCGTTTAATTCGACACCTAATTTTTAAAAATCGAACGAACGGTGCAGATCTGATGACCTGGACAAAAAATCCCTTCGCGTATTAGATATGTATCATTTTGAAAATTTTTGGACGTTTTTTTAGGTCGTGTAGCTTTAGTTCTAATTACCAATTTTAGATTTTCCAAACAGGAAGTCTTTGGTTTGAAGTATGTTTTGGTTTAAAAGTAACATCAACAAAAAAGTAAAAGAAAATATTTATTTTCCAACATTTGAAATATTAACAAATCGTTTTTGAAAAAGTATGAAAATTTTACTAAATTTTAGTGCAAATGTGCTTAACATGAGCTGTAAGTTTTAGTTTGGGAGCTCAACCGGTTTTGAAAAAAAAAACTTAATTCGCATATGCAAAATATTATCTGAAACGCCTTACAGTAGACATAAGGTCACATCAGACAAAAGGTTACGTTTTATTTTTTATCTCTAAAACCGTTGGAGATCCCAACGTGAAACTTACAAAATGAAGTTTTTTCAAAAATGGTTTTTCTTAATTTTTCAAATGTTCAAAAAATATATTCTTTTACTTTTTTGTTAATGATACTTTTAAAACAAACTATACTTCAAACCAAAGAATTCCTTTTTAGAAAATCTAAAATCGGTTAATTAGAACTAAAGTTACACGACTTTAAAAAAAGTCAAACAATTTTTAAAATTACATATCTGTTTTTGTTAATTTTCAAAATTCTGAAAAAATATTCGGTGAGGTTGTTTACTACTACTAAAGTAATAAATATCAAAAGGTACACCCAAATCCCGACAAGTCATAAAAATTAGTGGAATCAACCCTTCTATCTTTTAGCTAGAAGTATTCAGCGCCATACTATTACCATATATTGGCAAAATCTAAAAACAACAGATCGCTAATTTTTTACATGTTCTGCTAATTTATGGGTAATAGAATACATACAAAACGCATTCAAAAGATTTTCACCTGACACTTTGAAATTTATGCGAAGTTATGCGAAGTATGCATTATCAGACCATAAGTTAAGACGTGCGAGTAAACTTGTTAGATGACTTCGTATGGTGATACGGGGCAGGCGTATACGTTACATACGGGCATTTGAGCACCATTGGTTATTTTTACTCTTTTAGTATGTATTTTTTAAGTATTCATTTAAACACAATTTCGCGATAGAATCTTGCTGTTTATAAAAAACTGAAGATAATGCATTTTCTAAGATAGGTGAACCACCATTTTGGACCAAAACCACTTTTTTCTCGAGAAATGTAACAACTCGCGGAATTTGCTCACCTTCCAATTTCTTTTTTTCCAAGATGGAATTTATCTAATAATAATATTGAAGACAAACCTTTTAAGTTATTTAAGCACAGCTATTGCTTTTTCTACAACTCATTCATTTTAAAATTAACTAAAAATAATTGTAAGCATTTTTGCACTCGGCAATACACTGGCTAACCTGCAGCACCAGGTATCGAAACAATCACCAACAAAACAAAGAAAAACAACAAAATCATTGTCTGTCTAATTCAGTCAATGCCAGAGTCAGAGTGTTAACAGTTTCAAAGTTGATTT